TATTGTTTGACTCCTTCATGACTTTCTATTGCCAACTGAAAATTTATTTTCCCTTATCATTTAAAAAATCAAAGCCAAAGCTACTGTGGTTATCTACTTCAATATTGTATTGTTTGTTATTTTTTAACCACTGAGTGATTTTAAGGAGAATTCTTTACGTTTGCAAGAGGGACATTCAGTATGAAAGCAGAGTTAAATTCACCAGACTGAAATGAAAGACCCAGACAGAGTTTGCTCTTCAGACAGCAAGAGGCTACCTTTCCATCTCCTTTGACAGTTGAATACAGGATATAGTATATTCAGGATACCAAAAATACAAGAATTGTGGAGCTATATGGCAAGTTAGGAAGTATAGTGAAGATGCATATGGGCCATTAATCGTATCAATTGGTGTAAGCACTTTCTGCAGTGAAAAGTCAAGTTTTAGGTATGCACATCGGAAGGAGGAGAAAAGGTTATTCTTAGAGGGACCTTGTCATGGAGTCATTAAGAGCCTGAATTTGATTCCCACTTCTACCACACATGTATGGTATTGGGCAGTTATGCAACTTTTAATAAATGTTATATTTATTTATTTCCAGAGAGAGGGGAAAGGAAGGAGAAAGAGAGGGAGAGAAACAGGAATGTGTGGTTGCCTCTCATGCACCCCCGATGGGAGACCTAGCCCACAACCCAGGCATGTGCCCCAGCTGGGAATTGAACTGCAACCCTTTGGTTCGCAGGCCGGGGCTCAGTCCACTGAGCCACACCAGCCAGGGCCAGTTTTAGTGATTCAGTTTTTCCAACTGTAAAAATGTCATAACACTTCTAGAACAGTGCTTTGGACATTGTAACTGTATTGGTTATCTATTGATGTGTAACAAGGTACCCCCAAAATTTGATGGCTTAAAACAACAAGTGTTTATTATCTCACAGTTCCTGTGAGTAGGAGTCTGGGCACACTTTGGATGGGTGTCTCTGGCTCCAGGCCTTTTGCAAGGCTGCAGTGAAACATACCTGAAGGATGGCCAGGCTCACTCACATGGAAGCTAGCAGACCAAGCGGGCCCCTCACGGGACAGCCTCACAACCTGCTGGTCAGCTCCTCTCACAGTCTCTAGTCCAGGAGAAAATGCAAGAGAGAACCCATGATGGAAGCCACAGTCTTTTTGTAACCCAGCCTTGGCAGTGACATCTCATTACCTTTGTTGCTCTCTGTTTGCTAGATGCAAGTCATAAACTTCAGTCTACACTCTAGAGGAGAGGACTAGACTAAGGCATGAATAACACCAGTAGGGTCACTGGGAGCTATTTTGGAGGCTGCCTTTGACAATGCATCCTTTAACTTAAATCTACTATCCATGTGTCTGTGAATTCCAAACTTACATATCCATCTATTTGATATCTTACTAGGATGTGTGTAACAGGCATCTTAAACTTGAGGAAAAAGGGAGCTGCCTGATACCTACTTCTCCCATAGTCTTTTCTTTCTTGGTGAATGGCAACTCCTTTTTTAGAGATGGTAATGTCAAAAACTTGGAGGCATACTTTTTAATGCTTTTCTTTCTCTTTACCCCTTGTCAAATTGACTTGGAAGATATATCCAGAATCTTACCCAGTTCTTGCTACCTCTTCCCCCGATGTCACCGTCATTGCCCATGTTTTTTGCAGAAGCCTGATAGGTTCTGTTTTCAACCTTTGCCAGACTGTCCTTCATTCAACAGGCAAAATGATCCCCCAGAACATCAGGGCAGGTCATTCTACTGCTCCATTCAAAATTCTCTAGTCTTCTCATTTTACTTAGAGTAACAAGCCAAAGTCTTTACAATGGCCTACAAGGCTTTTCATGATTATAAAATTATTTTTCTATATTTTGTGTAAGATGATGTATGTATGCAGTATAACAAATAATGTATGTATGGCAGTGTAAATACATATTTACGTGTTTATTTAACTTAGCAAGAAGTTATTGTCTGAATGGTGTTAGATAATGATCTGACACTTTCCAAATGAGGAGCTAATTTTCCCAGAATTGTTTATTGAATAGAACACTCATTCCCCACTGAGCTAATAATCTACCATGAATCTATTTGTCTTTTCCTGTGTAACCTATGCCTAATGTTTGATTTTAGAATAAAGATAGAACTAATGGATCATATAAGATATAATGGTGTTTTTATACGTTTTGTTTGATATGATATACTCAAATACATATAAAAGACAATTTGAATTTTATAATTGTGAATTATGGAAATATTTACTCTGTCCCTTTATTTGATTAAAAAAACTAATTCTTCTTAACAGATTGTGACTTATATTTAAAAATCCAGTTAGATATAAAACTAAAACTAAAAGAAAGAAAGTCTCATGATTTTTAGGCCATTGTTTCTGACATATGTTGATATACTATACTTAGCTGCTGCTTCTTATAACTGTTCAGAAAATTATCACAGAAATGCTTATAAAATGTAAGAATCCTGTAAGGATATCATCTGGCGTGAAATTCTTGTTTATTTGGTAACTTTCAGAGTTGAGGCCTAGCTGTGAATGCTGCAGGCCTCTGGTGTTCCTGTCTCCTTTCTGGACTTTTGGTCTTATCTCTATTTATAACTTCAACTGGCAGACAAGAAGGGGTAGGCAAAGGAGAATGAACTCAAGCCAGTTTGTTTTGTTGCTTATGAGCAGCACTGCTGAAAAGTTTGCCAAAGAACGGAAGTATATTGAAATTCTTGCTTAAAATGAGGTGTGTAGAATTTTCAGTGGTTTCCTTTTTATAAAAAACCTTGTCTCATTTTTGTGGAACTATGTGTAATTGAGGGACAGCTACAAATCACAAAATGAATCACTTCCAAGTCCTTCATCTCTACAGCGTTAGAATGGAAAATCTTGTCACTTAGACGAGTCCTTATTTGTTTTTTTTTTCTTTCCTTCTCTACAAATAGTGTAGGCATTGCTCATCTGGGCATCAGACTTTGGCAGCCAGTGAAGGGCCCTGAGCTAATAATGGAGCCATTCTGCCTCTCCCAGATAGATTTTGCTCCACTTGGTGACAAGAATATGATCCAAAGATGAATTTTTTTCTTTAGGGCAAACACAAAACAAAAAACGAGAGTTTTCCATACTGTGCAGAAGTATTGTGCTTCTGGTACACCTTTTGAACCAACATCACATTCTATTCCATTCAACAGCGTTATGTCCAGTAAGAGTCAGTGGGCATAACTGACTAAACCCAGAATCTAGTCAAGACACAGATTAACTTCCTGTGTGACTCTAAGAGTCCATCAACCTCTCTGGGCCAGCACCTTTATTTGCAGAAGAACTTTGAACTAGATGACAAAGACCCTTCCTATTCTAGAATACCGAGATAACTGGTAACATAAAAGGGAAATACATCTATTTATTTTTAGTATTAAATTTACTAAATTTAATTTAATAAAAATTAAATTTATTTTTAATAAATAAATAAATTTATTGGCTAGTATCAAATAGCCAATAACTCGCAGTTGGCTTGCTTAAACTCTTCTTCTCTCTCCAAATTCTGTTTTTACCAAAAAGGTAAAGATAGTTTGTCATGTTTTGAACTTCCTGGCTTATGTTGATTCTATCAACATGTTACTGTTACACATTTGAGTGGGAGCTGAGTTACATTTCATGAGGAGTGCTCAGACAACTAATAAAATTGTTATAACCCCCCCACTTTCGGTGGGTATTGATAGCATTGAGGAACGAAAAAAGACCGCCATTTTCATGCAGTCACTCTTCCAGCAAGACTGAAAATATAATGGCCTTAATATCAACTCGCTTGTTTGAATATTAACCAAACACAGCTTTCTTCTCAAGTTTTAAGTGCCTACATGAACTTAACCACAGATTTAGACAACTCCCCAAAAGTCCTTTTAAAACCCGTTGAGTATTATTTAAAGTAGGAGCTTCAGAAGTATTTCAAGGAATTGATTATTCTCACAGCAAACTACTGAGGCATAAAAGCATACCCTCTGTTAGAGCTTGGTCAGTTGTCGATGAGATCTTTGGTGATTGCCTAGGACCTTTGGAATTGCATACAGAGTTTCGAGTTACCAATAGGAAGCAGTCCCTAGTTAGAGAGCTGAGTGACAGCCTTCCAAAATAGATGAGGAAGAGCTCATAATAGGCTAACAAGAGGTTGCAAACATCTTTTGAAGACCTTTTCCAGGCTTTCAAATGGCCATTGTCAAAAAACAAATGGGGGGGGGTGGATTTGACTAAGCATCAGAAGAAGCTAGAACAGCATCCAAGGACAAGTATTTTTAAGCTCACAAGGCTGAAGAGAACTTTTCAGAGCAACCTTGTCTCACACCGTTCTCCTGTGTAGGCTTTCTCAGCTGCTTTGAGTAGGGGTAAAGAGGCATGCAAATTTTAACCATTTGTTTCCTAGTCAGTGTGTTAAGTAAATGCTGCTCCAATTTGGGGGGAGAAGGTCTTTCTCAAGATTTATCAAGAGTAGAACGAAAACCATCAATTACTTGTTTGTAGTGGAAAATGGAAAATTTCTTCTCTCCTTTACTGTATTTGTGTGGCCCAATCCCAATAGCCCTTTATTTAAAAATATTTATAATAGATCAGTTAGTCTAAGTCAAATGGGCAGAATCAGATGGATTTTAATTTGAAATGAAACTTTCTCCACTTTTTACCATCAGTAAACTGGATTTCAGTATATTATTTAAACATAATGAATCCTTTATTCATTTTGGTTAAGTTGAAATTTTGCGAACACATTGCCACTGGCATGTATTATAATTTTGTAGATGCAGCAGCTACCTAGAAGTTGCTTTCTTTTCCTTGCCCCCCCCGCCCCGCATCCTGTATTTTAGGGTACTGTATCTAGATCAGTTGTGTGATAGCTTCGTTCTGGCAATTACCATGCTTGTTTGAGGTTATAAAATATACACTTGACAAAAGTCAGGGATTTCCCCCTGAATATCAACTGACTGCTTAAAGTGGCATTTTCATTCTGACTCGATGTTTTGTTTTGTCTTATTGCAGCATATTGGAGCAAAATGAAAGAGTTTATTTTGAGGCCTCCAACGTACTGCTGCTACAGACCATGAGCAAGAGAGAAAGCGTGGACTTCAGCCTGCACGAATGGTCTTGAAACACAAGTGGTTTGGGGTAAGTCGTCTGAAGGGCTTGGAAGTCATCAGCCTTAAAGTTCATCAGTCATCATTTATTTGGTGCCCAAGGACATCTTATTCAAGTGCATGGCTATTTCTCTACAACCAAACAACGGAATGTTTGAGAAAACTGTGCTCTAGTGATGGAGAGCAACTGAATTTACTTAGTTGTGTTTGTTTATCACATGTGCAGAATAATAGGATCTGAGTAGAATGCATTTGGCATTAGAAAAAGACCAAAAAGAGAAAAAAACACCCACACAACGAAACACACAAACAACAAACAAACTACATTTCTAGACACTTCATTTTAGCTGAAAGCCTAAGGAATTCATCATACAAGAGAAAGCAAGTTCAATTTGATGGCAAGTTTGTGGTCCTGTTGCGAAGCATTAGGAAGGGCAAAGGTGAGAGACATCGGGGCTTTCCAAGACCTATTCAGCAAATGTTTGTTGAGTACCTTTTAACTAAATGTGGTGCCCTGAATGACAGTCTTGGTTTGGGGTGAAATTGAAATGTTCTAAACTATAAATAATTCTAAACTACACACCAAAATAATGTGGACTACCAGGAAAGCTTTGTCAGCCTAGCTCATTGTATTTTTTGGAAACAGAGTCCTCTGATGGAAGTCCAGTTCTGCCCACCTATTTTGGTGACCTCCGACAATTTAGCCATCCTTTTGGAATGAGTCACCTCTGAGAACACGAGGACGTGCCTCCATCACCACGGTCTTATGCAAATTTAAAATTCAGCAGTCCACTCTAGTGAAATTCATTAAATAATTTTACCATTTGATTTTTGCTCAACAGAATTTATTGCATGCCCTGCCAAGTCATCATTTGTAGAGGGGCTTCTTAGATCAAACAGCGTGGAGGAAAGGGTCAGGCACCTTGGGGTCCCTTCTGCTTGCTGGCACTGATCCTGTGAACCAGCCCTGTGGTCAAGCAGGCCTTGCACTCTCTGTGGTCAATAACTTATTCCTTGTAGCAGAGTGTTATATGAATATAATATTCAAATACATGAGATAGGATTCTCTTGAATTATTGGTCTTTTTCTGTCGGGGGTCTTTTTCCTTCTGTGTTTGCTCTCACTCTGTAATGGGTTACCTGCCTGTCCTTGAACCCCATAGAGCCCCAAACCTTGTTTTACATGGGTCAGAATTTATTTTCCTTTCTTACTAAGCATCTCTTTTCTGAAGCAGAGCTGTGAATGACACTTTAAATGATGCTCAGATGTCACTCTTGTTAGCAGTGGGCTGTTTGCCCCAGAGTGTTGCATTATTTGTTTCATAACAGCATTTTTTTTCTCTTACAAATGTTAAATTATGAAGTGCAGGAAACCACATGAATGCGGCAGAATGAAAATGTAAATGGTGTTCTCTGGAAATGCCAGTTTTATGATTCTCCTGGTGACACTATCCTCCCTGCAGTCAACGCATGAAGCCTCGCTACCTGTTCATTAGTAGCATTCTTTCCCATGTCTTCATCTTCATTGATGCTGTATGGTGTAGTCACCTTGTCATGCTGAATCAGGAGGTTTGGATAAAATGATTGCTTGGGGCTCTAACTGCCTATCCAAGTCCTGCCTGTCCGCTAAGCCCAGCTCTCATTCACAAAGTCTTCCCTGAATGCTCAAGACTTCACTGCCCACCTCTCTTTTCTGAACTCCTATAACATAGGGAGCCAGCATCATAAAAGGATATATGGCTCTGCATTGCTTTATGGGTGGTTGCCATCACTCCACCTGGGTTGCAGACTGCCTGAGGGCTGGAATCTGACCGTAGCTCAGTGTTTCTCAAAAGTGGTTTAGCTCCAGGTCCTCCTGATGGGAATCACCTGGATGTATGTATGAAAGGTGTAGATTCAGCAGCACTAGGCTCGATGAGTCAGAGTTGCTGGGGATGTTGAGACCAAGAAACTCACTGACCGCAGATCTCTCTTTCGCACAGTGAGGTTTGCTTAACAACTGTCTGAGTCTACTTCATCCTCCTCTTTGCCTCCTCACCCACAGCATAGGGCCTAGGTCTCAGCACATCGTAGGTGCCTAGGAAATACTTGCCTGTTCATCTAAGCAGTATCACACCATGATGGCTGTATTCCCTCTTCAATTGCCTCGCCTTTCACTCAGGATGTGGAGTCAGCATATTCTCTGAACCCTTAAAAACCCCATCTTGTCTAGATATGTAGTGTTCCCCGCAGGTCCAAGGCTCTTTCATGTCTCTTTCTCTTCAACGACTGGCTCTGACTGTCCTTAGTAATGGCGTAGCGCATGCTCAGGCTGATAGAGCAGGAAGAGCAGATACAGAGAGCTCGTCTGGAGAAGCAGGTCTGGAGACAGGTCTGAGGGTGGGAGCAGCGCTGTGGTAACCTAGAATCTCTGTCCTTGGCTCCCAAAGCCACAGCTGCTGCCCTGGGCAGTTTATTTTGAATGATATTTCTTTCAGCTGTTAGGGCTCACAGGTGGTCAACTTTGGTGGCAGCAGAGCGGTTCCATTGCTCAAACGGATAAAGTTAAGCTGCAGTGGACACGCATCAAAGCACACACTGTGGCAGCGGCAGATTCAGGATTTGATCCTGACATTACCAGGCTGTAGTGGTGGCACCTGGCTCCTTCCTTCCCTCCCCCACCAAGGGCAAGCCTGGCTTTGGATGATGCAAAACAGATTTGCAGGGTGGTGTTGCATCTGGTGCAACTCCTGAATGCTCTTGTTGGTGAATGCAGCCCTGGTAGCAGAAATGACAGTTAGTTCAAGGTAGAAAGCAAAGAGAAGAACTCACAGAAGCCTAGCCAGCCTGCAAAGGAACAAGTGGGGTAATCTGGAAATTTATCAGCTGCTAAGGTAACCGTGGCCAAATGCATTTAATCTTTTTTTGCAACTTTTCTTTTTTTGACTCTTGCTTCTTGACAGTTTCACTTAGAGAAGTTCTGTCGATCCTGAATTAAATGTGAGGTAAAAGGTACATTTATGCACAGTGACAGGAAAACATCTTCTTGGTCTGCATGGAATTTTGATGATGGGAGGTAGCAGAAAGGTGGATGGGGGATGGGCTTTTTCTCATGTTCTCAGCTAAGGGAAGGAAAAATAGCACGGTTGCCAAAGCAGGGTTAAGGGCAAATGAAGCTTTTTAGTATGTGCTTCATGGAGACCTGACTAGATTTTCCTCTGCATAGCTTCTTCCAGCCGGGTGGGTGGGGAGAGGGCTGCTTTTGTGACGTAGGAGGCAGGTGCATAGGCTATCCAGTGTGGAAGAGAAAGGCACAGTTGTTGATGTGTGCCTGAGGCTTTGTTAAAGGCTTTAGGATAGAGGAATAATGAGGGACAAAGTTAAAGAAATTAGAAAGCACATGATTTTAGCCAAATACCAGATGCTGGCATTGCTTTTCTGGAGGTCTTTAGCCATGTGTGGACTATTTCCTTAGAAGTAGCCATCCATGGTTGGCAAAGAGAAAAATTCGTTCTAAGAGAGCATTTTTCTGGTTAGAAACTGTGTCACTGGTACTGTTTACCATGAGGTATCCTTGAGAACTGCAAGGTTTCCAATGGCCACCTAAATCATAGGCACTGCTCTTGGAAGGCAGATATGAGTGAGAAAAGAGCCAGTCCTGTATCTTCCCGGAAGACCATCATTAGAAAGCTCTTTAAGTGCTTTCTAGCTTAGAGGAGTCAGATACCTATCGTGTACCTAAGCCTACGTTCCATAAAGCAGTACCAAGCATGCCTTCTGTGAAATGCGTTATAACTCGCTCTTCTTGCTGATGCTATCACGGGCTAATAATTGCATCAGTCCTTCAGAGGAGCCATGTGGTTTGGTGTAACTGTGAGTAAAACCACACTGGTTCAGGAAATGCTGTGCATTGTCTTATAACGGGCATCATCGAAACAGATGTTGATTTACTTGGAAGGTACCTTTCCTTGGTGACAACTTGAGACCTTTGAAGGGAGGTGACTGCCGTGCATCAAAGTAAATTAGAATTACGCCGCCACGTTTGTGCACTGAGTTAAAACTGAAAGAAACTCACCAGTGTTGATTATTGAACAAGCTCTCCCCCAAGCCATCATTACATCATTGTATCATTATCAGTTCTGCTCTAATGACTAGCTTGCTCTCTCTTTCCCTTCTGAGTTAAGATGATTGGCTTCCAGTTTCCTCCCAGATGGCTTCAGCTGGTTATCATATAGGTGCCTTCAACTTGAGGCTAAACCTATATGGTCACTCTCCTGCCTCCCTTTTGGGGTTCCTTTTTAGGGAAACGGGATCAGCCGGACACCATCTTCTCTTCCAATGTAGTTCATCCCTTGACCGCATGCTGTGGTTTTACCTGTTAATACTTTTTTCTACTCACTCTTCTTCCACCCTCTTGCCCCTGTTCTGTTTCAGTCCATTAGATCACTTGCCTGGACTGCAGCCACTTCCAAAAGAAGCTGCTTGCTTTACTAAAGCCTTTCCTTCATGCGCTCCCTTCATCTTACTTTGTTGAGAATTGTTTTCCTAAAGAAAGTGTGTGGTTGAATCGTTACCATTCCTGAAAAACCTTCATGACATGTGGAGGTACAGAAAAGTGTTTATTATGCAATGCTAGGTATAAAACTCAGACTTCAAAATTGTATATCTACACTGAATACAAACTGACAATGAAAATGTATGCCTGTCAACAATGACTAGAAGTAAATAAAGCAAAAATGAAGATGTTTGTAGTAGTAGAGTGATTAGTGCTTCTTTTTTAAAAAAATAATACTCCATTGATATTTCCCATAGTGATGAATGAATAAAATGAAGTGAAAGGAAAAATTGAAAAGATTTTGTTAGATTTCCCTTCTCTACAAAGTCAAATGTGATCTTTATTGCATGACATGCAAAACCCTGAATTCACTTTCAACTTACCATTTAAATCTTATCTCCCATCGCCCCATCTCTCCATACAATGTGTCTTTTCTTTCTAAACATACTATGTTAATAACCATGCCTTTCCTCATGTTGATTCTTCTGCATGAAATTC